TGTGAAAGTCCTTATAAGAGTTATTTGTTTGAACTTTTGTTTTACTTTCTTTTATTTTTTAATGATTTTGCCTCATTCTGTTTTAAAGAGTTGTGGGTCAATCTCTTAGGAAACCCTTACGAAGCCTCACTCGTCCTCATAGGCGACTTTGGGTTTAAAGGGCTTGTTGTAGCTAAAAACAGTCGTGATTCCTAGGTTAGTGAGTCTTAGTGTATATTCTTCTTTTCTCTTTCTCTTTACTTAATAAGCCATCCTTATTTCTTACTAGCTTTTATTTTGCTCGGGACGAGCAAAAGTCTCATAGGGTAGTGTTTAGGATATTTTTATTATGCTTTTTATGCTTTTATTTTACTATTTTGATCTTTTCTCCTCTAGTTTCTCTATTTATTCTTCTCTCGTGTTTTACCTTCCTTTATGTGCATTTATTCGTGTTTTCTTTTTATATTGCTCTTTTTCTCTTCTATTTTCTCTCCTTGGTTTCTCTTGTAGGTACCTTAAGAATTAGCTTGCAAAGGATTTAAGAGGAGCAAAAAGAGCCAAGAAAAGGAGTTTCAAGTCTCATGGAGAGGACTTAGAGAGGGCTCTCCTCTTTCTCTCAGAGCCGCGGGCGAGGGTTTTGGTGCAAATTTTAGGAATTTTGGCAGGAACTCTCCACGCCCTACCCGTAAAAGGGCTCTCCGGATTAAGAGAGACCGCGACCCCTTGCTTTTATTGGAACAGGTCATTTTGCCGCGCCCTAAGCCGCGGGCGCGGGTACTGTAGCCCGCAGGCGCTTGTTTTGCCCAGACTGCCTGCGGAGGCAGTTATGGGTTCCTTACCCATTTCTCCGCGCCCGTAGGGTCTTTGAGAAGAGGGCGCGGTCGATCAAATTTGTTCTTTGCTTACATATACTCTTATAAATCCTTTTGAAGGCCAACTTTTAGATAATATTTCATTTGCTTAGTTTTTATCGAGAAACTAGAGAGAAGTTAGAGAGAAAGTTTGAGATTGTAATCTTTGGACTTGAATTGTAATTCAATATTTGTTTCTTCAATCAAGTATTTAATTCTTCTTAAATATCAATCAAGTTAGTAAGATTTGTTTCCTTTGAGTTTACTTCAATTGCAATTTACTTTTATGCTTTTATGTTTGGTTTGGATTTCGATTTAGTCTTGAGAATTTGTTGATTGATTGAATTTCCTTTTGATTTAGCTTGAGATGAATATGTTTGAGATTGAATTTGTTCTAGTTTTAGATTTCACCATGTTTAGTGAGTAGGTTAGTTGATTGGGAGAAGGGTAAGCATGCTTGATTGATGATTATTGCTAATTGATGATCCTTGATTGATTGATTGTTGCAATTAAATTGGTTGACATAGTTGTGCATGTGATTAGTTAGACTAGGAGTGATCAACCTATAAGATTAATCTAGATTGCATTGCGAATTCAAATGACACGAACAATTGGTTTGGGAATTGCTTTAATTGTTTGAATTTGATTGTGATTCTCCTTGTTAATCATTCATAGTGAACCCTTGTTTGGTTTATATGAGGTAACCTTTGAATTCCTTTGATTGCAACTATTGTTTGTCCTTTGTAATGTCATATCAATTTGGTGATCTATCGAATAGCATGATTGCTAAGCTTGCATGTGAAACCTATACCCCTAGTGTTTAGCATTTTGATTGAATTCTCGGTTCTTGTTATCATAGTTATCATACTCAACCTTTAACATTTCTTCGATATAGCTTAACGTTAGACTATAACATGGAATTAGTTCATTCCTTTGGGTTCGACCCTTAGCTTGACCTATACTCGTATAAGGTTTGTTAAGCGTTTTCAAATTTAGTTTGACTTAGGGAAGAATTAAAAACGACCTTGTTCCAACCCTCGTCATGTATCTAGAGGAATAGATAACAAAGTTTGGTAGCAAAAAGAAGCTTTTTAATTGATAGGCTTTCTATTTACAAATATTTACAACACTTAGAAGTAGTACTTTTTGAGATTTTCCTTATTCCAAGTTCTAGGAAGCCGCCTACCCTCTAGTATCCCCAGGCGCTAGGTGCCGTCTCCAACTTCCTCATAGATCTGGTAAGGCCCTTCCCAATTAGGAGTCAGCTTTTTAAGCTCATTTTCCCTACCAGTTGCCTCCATTTTGTGTAACCCAAAGTCCCCGAATTTCAATGGGCGCATGTGTACTTTCTTATTATAGGCACAATTCATTCTCACACAGTAAATATCATGACGCAAGGCGGCATTGCCCCTGCGCTCCAAGAGTGAGTCCATTGCTAGTCGCATGGCCTACCAATTTGCCTCTTCATCGTATAGCATGATTCGTAGAGTCGGCTCATAATGCTCGAAGGGCATGACGTCTTCAGCACCGTAAACCATGAGAAATAGAGTTTCACAGGTTTCCCCCTTTGTCGTTTTCTTGATGGCCCATAGGACATGAATTAATTCTTCTGCCCATAAACCTCAAGCTCTTTCAATTTTCTTTTTAATGCCAACTGAGATGAGTTTGTTGAAGGCTTCAACTTGGCTGTTTGCTTTGGATCGGCCGACTGATGCAAAATAATTTCACCAAGTTTTAAGATGAGGCGTCTCAAATTGAGGTCTTTTATCAAACACTATAGACATAGGTACCCCAAACCGAGTGATAATGTTCTTACATATGAAAGAAATGACATCCTTGGTCTTGATGTTTTTTACTGCTTCCGCCTCCACCCATTTGGTGAAGTAACCCACAGCCACTAAGATATAGCGCTTTCCGCATGGAACAGGCGTGTAAGGAACAAGAATGTCCATGCCCCATTTAGCAAACGGGATTGGGCTTTGGATTGCTGTCAGGTCAGTAGCCAGACGACGGATTAGCTTGCCAAATTTTCTCTTTGGTAAGAAACACTCACCGCCCAGGCTTGTTTTCTCTTCTTTCTCTCACCTCTTTTCTTCGCTGGCTGAGCAGGCCGGCTGTCTTTTTGTCTGTCAGACTTCTTGGAGTTCAACTAGCTACCAGGCGAGCAGTGGTCGGTTGCTTGAATATAGCTTTTCGCTTCCCTCAAGGCCGCTTGTAAGGTAAATGCCCCTTTTCTGACAAAGTCGAACTTAAAGGTCTATAAAGGCAACTTCGTCAAACAGTCGCTTAATCTTTCTCTCTCTTCCCGCTTAATGGTGCTCAAGTCAAGACTTGTTTTCTTCACAGGGATGTTCATTGAGAAGTCGGAAACAAACAAGAAAGCAAGCTTCTTGAAACTATCAATGAAACTAGCTGGTAGGTTGCCAAACCATTGCTGGGCAATGCCCTTCAATGTAGCCGGAAAACATCGACACCAAGTGGCATCATCCAACCCTTGTAAATACTAGAGGTTGGTATAAGCCATGAGGTGATCTTCCGGGTTGGAGGTACCATCATAAGTACCAACCAACAAATTTTTAACCTTGGCCGGCTATGTTGCCTCGTTTATTTCCCGGGTGCACGAAGAAGGTTGTTCACCCAGGTGGAGCAGCTGAAGCTGCCAGTCTAGTGGTTGGACATTGCTGTATGTCGCCTGACCTCCAAAGAAGGACGGCTGCATGAAATAAGAGAGTACGGGCCGTAGACCATAGGCAGTATGTACGGTGCATTCCCTATCATCTGAGGGCCTGAATGGACGGTATTACCGCCTGTATAGCTCCCGTGCAAGGATCGCACATTCCCTGCATATGTATTCTTAAAGCTATCTGGGAAGCTTGAGGTGGAAACTGACTCAGACATTGTTGATTCCTCTAGCGGGTGATGATCTCCCGGGCATCAAGAGTTGATTTTTTGTTTCCCACTGGCTTTTCACTCTGGTGGGTATTGTTGGTATTCCTCTTCAGTAGAAGAATCTTGGACCAGTCAATGATCCCAGCTGCCTTCTCCTTTAGATGGGAAGTTGGTTTCCTATCTCTGACTGACTTTCTCTTCTCCAGTGGTTTCTTCCTTGCCTTCTGACCCTTGCTTGGGCTAGCCCTACTTTTGGTGATTAGATCCTTGATTTCACCCTTGAAACTAGTCATGAATTTCATGAGTTCGTCTCGGGTGTCTGGAGCGGATCCGCTTGCCTTATGGGTTTCCCTTTCCGGCTGTCCAGGGGGTCGACTTGTACCCTCCTTGTTTTGGGTAATTTTACCCATGCCACGTGGTCTAATCAGACCTTAATACGTGTCATATCCTAGTTGGTCCAAATTGGGCCAATCTCCTTCTGACATGTGTCCCTCCTTGAACTTGGGAGAAAAAGGCGACATTTAATGGCCCAAATTCCGAGAAAGCCGTAATTCGACGCAGCCTAGAATGATTAGGTCAGAATGACCTTATCAAGGGCACAATTTCCAATAACCCTATAAATAGGGAGATTTCCCCCATTTTTAGGGCATCTACAGTAATTAAAGCATATCTTACATTCTCTTACATCAGACAATTACCTGATCTCAGAATCCCAGAATTTCTCACCTCTTTTTCCGCACTTCTCCCGTTTATCTTCAAGTACTAACTTGATTGTCGGAGGCAGAGCTCCAACCACCAGCAATCTCCGTTGTTTTGCAGGTACATGCCATGGAAAACCAGTCTCTAAGCTGTAACTCTCTCGAGGGACAAAAACACCCAGAACATTTGGCGCCGTCAATGAGGAGAGTTCCTCAAGGATGGTTTAAGAGTGTGTTATCCACTACAAGAAAAAGCGGTATTAGCAACTGATATTTGCGACTACCCTAAAATTCTGTCGCAAAAAATGTATTTGCAACTGAAAGAGACAGGTAGTCGCTAATTTTGCAACTGATTTTGCAGTAGTTGTTGGGCGGTCGCTATTTTGCGACTAATATTTGTGATTACCATAATATTTAGTTGCAATTTTTTTTTTCGCAACTGAAGGATACGAGTAGTCGCTAATTTTGCGACTCATTTTACGGTCGTTGAAATGCGGTCGCTGAATTGCGACGCTCTTTTTTTTTGCGACAAATTTGTAGTTGATTAGGTTGATTATTTTGAATTATTTTTTAATTTAAAAATTTGCGACTAATATTGCAACTAAGTTGGTAGTCGCTACCATTATTTTTGAAATTTATAAAAGATATTTTAAAAAAACCCTTTGTATATGAGTAGTTGCCGCAAAAAAATTAAAAAAAAAACCTTAAAAACAATGTGTTGCCAAACTTTAAAGAAAAAAACTTGATCATTCTTTAAAAAATTGCTTCATAAAAAAAAATTATCTTCTTAAACATAGTTAGAGTACAGACACACTTCTTCGTAAAAAAAAATGCAAAAGGCTTCATTTCAGAGAATCAACCCTCATTGTTGCTCATCATCTTCCTCCGCTGCACCACCACGTCTCCTCCCAGGTAAGTTGTTTAAATGCCTGACGTCCCTTCCACCCTTCGCTTATTGAATTTTGCTAGCTACGATTTTTAGGGTTATCGTTGATTTTTTTGTTCAATTATTGTTTTTAATGTGGTTTCCATGGTTTAATTGATGTCAATTAATTAAAAATCATTCACAATTGATTGAGTATGCAAATATCCCTAATTATTTTCAATGTAAAAGTCCCAATTCTGGTAATTTCGACACTTTTTTTTTTTTTTCTCCACTAGTTATTAAATGTGTAATTTCTGAAGAGGGGGGGTTTGTTGGTTGTTTGTTAATTACATTCTCGTTTTGTTTAGAATTCCTATTCATTAGTGGGTATTGAGGTTCGCTAGTTCTAATTGAATTCTTTTTTTTTTTCTCCGATTTTATTCTGTTTTTGAGCCTAATTTGCTGCTGGTTGGTTGTCATGACAATGGTTGTAGGTGGTTGCTGCAATGATGTGGTGTTATATAATTGAGTTGTGGGGGCAGCAAGTTACGGGCTAGAATAACAGTAGTTTAATTGAGTGCGGAAGCATTTTCTTTCTTTGTTGCTGAATTGTGAAAAACCTGTTTGGATGCATCTTGTCATTACCTTCCCCAAGTATAGAAGATAGCATGTCATGTGAACAAGTATAGAAGATAGTTCGTAAGTCTTACTTAATTATTAGTTATTGTACTTTCTGGTAAGTTAATTGTTGCTTTTCAGCATTTTAACTCGAATTATTATGTTAGCAAGTATGTTAACGAATAGGATAATGCTTCCAACTATTTAAAACTCTACCAGAAAGTTATTATAATTTTGAAACTGCTTTCTTGATTGAGCTATTCTATTGTGAACTTAATGATGTTCTCCTTCTCTTTATTTTCTGTCTATTTCAGTGTGAGTGTGTGCAGTTGACTGTTTGTGCCTAGGTTATGTTTGTTGCAATGTTATATTCAGCAATGGAATATTGGGGATTATATGTTACAAGTGGGTAAAGGTTTGTCTTATGACTCTAAATTGCAGATATAATGTTCATAACTTTTATTTATAACTTTCTCTTCATTGAAATTATCTTTTGTCTATGCTTAAAAATTGATATGACTTATGAGTTTGAACACTTTTTTGCTACTGGATAATGGAATACTATTGTTTCATTAGGAACTAAATTTTACAGTTGTTATGTCTACATAATTACATGTATTGCTCAATTCTCTTATAGCTTTATTAGATTATATGCTAGTGACCAAAGCTCATAATACTGATGCGAGAGCTTAATATTTCCAGAATTATACTTTATGGAATATAAAAGATAAGATAGAGTCATCACTTTTGAGGCGGTATCTTTATTGTCGTTGTCGTGCAAGGGCTAGTTGTTGCCATTTTTTTCTTTTTAATTTGTGTTGCTTTGCTATTATTACTATGTATTGCAGTGAAGCAAGGGCTAGCTTATTGCCACCCTGACCATTTTCCTAACTTCATATTTTATAATTCATAAAATTGATTGATTATGACACCGTTGATTTCTTCGATTGTATTGGAATATTGGATCATAGACATTTTTGCTCTAACCTTTGTTTCCTTCACCCTATTTTTCTAATCAATAAAAAAATAATGCAGCCATTGAGCATGCTAACTATTAATAGCTCAATGTGAATATCATAACTTATGCCTTAGTGTTTTTGAAATTACATGTTAATTATAATGAGGACATTTCATCATAAGCAATACATATGAATTGATATGTAGATTGTTCTCCATCACCATTTTATTATTTTGTCTTATAACTATTTTTGTGATCTAAGCAGGTTTAGTGTGATGGCAAAGTAGCACTTTACATGAATAAGGAATTTTTGAGAGTCTTTGCGAAAGAGAAGAATACAAGGGAGTAGCTTTGTAAAAGAGCCTTGTCAATATTTGTTATGCCAGTATGTCAATGAAGAGGTATAGTTTTTTTTTTCAATGGAAACCAATTCTTTATTGATTTCCTTTATTGATTATCAGTGTAGAAATTTTTTTTGGTTATAGATAATATGATCCATGTTTGTTTATGACAAGTACTAGGAAAACACACATGCATAGTGTCTTACTTTCTTTTAATTGCATATATCTTGTTTAAAGTCGGAGTATGTACTAGTAATATTGTTGGAGCTTGGAGGAAATGAGAATTGATTACATATTGGCAATGAGAAATGATTACATATTTATTTAGTAGATTGGAGTCTTCGAATGATTCAGATTTTTCATCCCATTTTTTGCTAGCTAAACATTCTGTAATCTTACTGTTTAGCTAGAAAAAAATTATGCTTTGTAAAGAGCTATATATGATGGACAAAATCTATTTGCAATAACTTCAAGCTAACTTATTGTGTAAGATGGTGTGGCCTGGTATGGCCTATTGGTTTATTGCTGAAATTTTTTAAAAGCATTGCAATTTAATCTGTCTTGAAATTCTATCATGGGGTGTTTGCTAGAGTAGGATTAAGTCTAAAATGTTATCTTTTTGTCATGACAGGGGTGAAATTTTCGTATGTGCTCTTCCTTGGCTGAGGAAATAAAGCAAATTTTAAATAAGATATAAGATATTACTCCTTCTACTGCTACCTTACTACTGCTGCTGCTACCACACTTGTTGCTGTTGTTACCACGCTGTTGCTACTACTGCCGCGCTGCCATTAAAGCATCGCTTCCAATTCCATGCGCTACACTGTGTTATAAGAGATTAGTGTATATTATGATTAACAAAATCTACTGTTTTTTTTTGTAATATAAACATAAATTGTATTAGATTGTGAACTTTTATCTATATAATTGATTAATTATTAATTAAGCATAAATAAAGCAATTTTTTAGAAAATAAAATATTTGAGCCATTTTTTTTCTCTGGTTTTGACAAAAAAAATGGAGCAAATAACCACCTTTTGCGACTATTCTATTCGTCACAAAAGTAGTCTTAAAGCATTGGTTTTCATAGTCACTAATTCGTCGCAAATATTTTACAACGGACAATGATTTAATTGCTAAAATTTGAAAGGTAGTCGCTAAATGGCAGTTGCAAATTCGTCGCTAAATTTGCAACTATTAAAACCGTAGTCGCAAAAGTTTGGTCTTATAGTCCCTAATCTATTGCAAAAGTAGTCTTAAAGCATTAGTCTCCGTAGTCGCTGATCCGTCGCAAATATTTTACGACGGACAATGATTTAGTTGCTAAAATTTGAAAGTTAGTCGCTAAAAGGCAGTTGCTAAGTCGTTGCAAATTCGTCGCTAAATTTGCGACTGTTCAAAAATTAGTCGCAAAAATGGATTTGCGACGAGGTCTTTAGCAACTTACCAAATTAGTTGAAAATCCGTCGCAAATCCATATTTGCGACGATTTGTGACTAATTTGACCGTCGCTAATCCCTCTTTTTCTTGTATTATCACCTCTTGACCACCCGATTAATAAGTTGGAGGTCTTTACTGACTATGACGATGATGATCCTCAGGTTGAAACCTTCATAGCTAAGGATGGCTCTCTAATTACCAAGCGCATCCGTCCTAGAGACACTCTAGAACGAGGTACAAGCCGACCTCCTAGTCAGCCGGAAGGGGAAACCCATATGGCAGGCGGGTCTACCCTAGTCACCCGAGATGAACTCATGAAATTCATGACTAGTTTCAAGGGTGAAATCAAGGATCTGATCACCAAGAGTAGGGCTGGCACAAGCAAGGGTCAGTCGGCAAGAAAGACTCCTCAAAAGAGGAGAAAGCCAGTCAAGGATAGGCAGACAATTCCTCATCCGAAGGACAAGGCAGCCGAGACCCTTAACTGGTCCAAGATTCTCCTACCCCAAAAGAATATAAGAAACACCCGCCGGGGTGAACAACTGGTGGGAAACAAAAAATTACTTCTGATGCCCGGGATATCATCACCCGCTGGAAATGCTTAATCCTTGCATGAGAGCCATAAATGCAGTAACATCGTCCACTCTAGCCCTCAGATTATTAGGAATGCACCGTATGTACCCACTATGGTCTACGGTCCGTATTCTCCTTATTTCATGCAGTCGGCCCTCTTTGGGGGTGGCATACAATGTCCAACCTTTGGACTGGTAGCTTTATCTGCTCAAACTTGGTGAACAAACTTCTGCGTTCACCAAGGAGATAACCGAAGCCGCATAGTCGGCCAAGGTTAAGAATATGTGTGTGGGTGCTTATAATGGCACCACCAACCCGGAGGACCACCTCATGGCCTACTCCAACCTCATGCACATGCATGGCTGGAGGACGTTATGTGGTGCCGATGCTTCCCGGCTACATTGAAGGGCATTTCCCAACAATGGTTTGGCAACCTGCCAGCAAGGAGCATTGATAGCTTCAGGATGCCAGTTTTCTTGTTTGTCTCCAACTTTTCAATGAACATCCGTGCCAAAAAGACAAGTCTCGACTTGAGCACCATCCGGCATGAAGAGAGAAAAGGGCTCTGCTCTTATGTTAGGCGGTTCAACCTGGTGATAATTAAAATCCAGGGGTTGTCTGACAAGGTAGCCTATATAGACTTCTTCAAGAGTCATAAGGACGGGTCGACCTTTAAGTTTGACCTTGTCCGTAACAGGGTTTTTACCTTTCAAGAGGCGTTGATAGAGGCGGAGATCTTTATTCAAGCTACTAACCTCTGCTCGTCCAGCCATCTGTCAGACTCAAAGAAGTCTGACAAACAAAAGGAGAGTCGGTTTGCTCAGCTGGCTCAGAAAGCGGAAGAGAGCAAAAAGAGAAAAAAGAAATTTGGGCGGTTGAGGAACCTGATCAGCCGTCCAAAAAGAAAGAAAGAAAGAATTCAAACTGTATGTCTCGCGGTATGAATTCAATAAAAACTGCTACACCATCTTTACAAAGGTGAAGGACCGGCTGACCATTGAGAAGCCGAATCCTATGAAAAGTTTCGTTCAGTCGTGGAACAAGAATAAATTTTGCCACTTCCATCAGAAGGTAGGCCATGACACCAACGACTACTATAGTCTCAAGCGGACGTTGGACCGTCTGGCTGATAATGGCTTGATGAAGTCCTAAGTCTTGAAGTCCAAAGCGGCTTCTAAGACGAATCCGGGGCAGTCGTAAAAAACTCTCTAGCCTACTAGTTGTTTTGATACAGACAAGGATCCGGTCTACACCATAGTTGGCAGATTTGCAAGCGGTGGCACGACCAACCGGGCCACCAAGGATCATCTGAAGAGGATGATCCATTCTGTTGATGATGGACAAGCGTCATCAAGTGGAACATTGCCAGACGTCCTCATCACTTAGAAGGATCAGGGCAAGGTTCGCAGATCGCATGCCCTAGTCGACATTGAATGCAAGGTCGCCAACCAGTTGGTTGGCTGGATCCTCATAGACACGAGTAGCTCTTCAGATCACATCAGCTACAAGTGTCCATACCGGTTTAATTACAAGCGGGACGGTCTGCGCGACATCTCCCACCATTTAGTTGGCTTTAGGGGAGGGGTCGTGCACCTAGTCGGACAAATTGACATACCCATCCGGCTAGGGTAGAAGGGAGAAGGGCGACACATGGTTGTCCAATTCCTGGTGGTTAAGGAGCTGACCGCCTACAACATTATTCGTGGCCGACCCACTCTAAACGAGTGCAAGCTCGTCATCGTCCCAACTCTCATGCTTCTCAAGTATGAAAGGGATAATGGCATTGTTGGCTCCCTCAACGGGGATTAGAAGACGACAAGAGAGTGATATCTCTCAAACGTCTAGCCAACTACTTCTGCAGCCTGTCAACTAAAGGGGCTAATAGACCTTAACGATGTCAAGGACCCTGATTCACCCTCTCCAGCAGCCGCAAAGAAAAGAAAAACTAAAAAGCTGGTGGAGGTGAAGAAGGAAAAGAAATAGCAATCACTGCCTGGGGAACGGGCAGATGATCTCCGTCCCCAGCCGGCTTATGAGCACATTGATATCCCTTTGGACGACAGCAGTCCGGAGCGGACGGTTAAGGTGGGGACAGCTTCCTTTAAATGGCTTGGTGCAGACTTGCACCATCTAGTGAAAGAATTTTAAAGACATCTTTGCTCTTTAAGTGGAGGAGATGTCAGGCATCAGCCCGGATCTCGCAGTCCAAAATAGAAGCCCATCCGGCAAAAGAAAAGAAACCACAGCGAGGAGTGAAGTCAGGCGGTAGCTTCTAAAGTAAAAAAGCTGCAGGATGCTGGGTTCATTCGGCCATGTAACTTCCCCGACTGGGTTGCGAATGTTTAGCTTGTAAAGAAGCCGAATGGTACCTTGCGCATTTGTATAGATTACACAGATCTCAAAGAGGCATGTCCAAAGGACAGTTATTTGTTCCCAAAGATCGACACCTTGTCGATTCAATAGCTGGTCATGCCTTGATGAGTTTTATGGATGCCTACTTTGGCTTCAATCAAATACCCCTACGGAAAAAAGATCAAGAGAAGACAACCTTCGTCACTGATCAGGGGTTATTCTGCTATACTGTGATGCCATTTGTTTTGAAGAATGCGCCAGCTACTTTCCAACGGATGATTAATATCTTCGTTAATTAGATTGGGAATAATGTAGAGGCATATATTGATGTCATTATAGTCAAATCTAACCTCCAGACAGATCACTTTGCTGAACTACGAGAAACCTTCACCACACTTAGGCGGCATAAGGTCATGTTAAATTCCAAAAAGTATGTGTTTTGGTGTTGAGTATGGGAAGTTTCTTGGATCCCTAATTTATCAAAGGAAGATAGAGGCTAACCCTAAGAAGATATAGGCGGTGATTGACATGAACACACCCCGCACTATCAAGGAAGCGCAGAGGCTTACCGGTTGCCTGGCTGCGCTTTGGAGATTCCTCAGCCGGTCAGGTGACAAATGCCTTTACTTCTTCCAAGCAATCACGAATAAGACTAGATTTAAATGGGGAGATGATGTTGAGGTTGTTTCTCCTTGCTGAGAGAGACGGCAATCAGCTCGCGGTCTATTTCATTAGCCTTGTGCTCAGAAATGCTGAACTCCGGTACCCTATGGTTGAAAATTTGGCCTCGCTTTATACATGGCTGGTAAGAAGTTGAAACCATACTTCTTGGCACATCCTGTGGTAATTTACACAGACCTGCCCCTTAAGCGGCCAATGACGACCCTGGACTCATCCGGCAAAATGCTCAAATGGGCTATGGAAATGCAGAGTCTTGAAATCTCCTACGAACCAAGAAAGGCAGTGAAGGGTCAGTCGTTTGCCGACTTCATTATCAAAATGATAAGGCCGGTTGCTCCGAAAAACCTAGGTCAGGTTTGGAAGGTGCATGTAGACGGGAGCTCTACTATAAATGGTTGTGGTGCAGGCATAATTTGTGAATCCGCGAAAGGGGACAAATATGAGTATGCACTATGGTTCAAGTTCCAAGCCTCAAACAATGAGGCGGCATATGAAGCCATGCTAGCCGGTATTCGCATGTGTAAGGCGACAGGGGCAACAAAAATTGACGCCTGCTTAGACTCTCAGTTGGTCATTAGCCAATACCATGGTGAGTTTGAAGCCAACCATCTGGCTATGATCAAATATCTACAGGCAATCAAGGCTGAAGCGGGGACACTTGAACAATTTCTTCTAATTCAAGTGCCCCAATCCAAGAACAATCAGGCGGATGCTCTGTCAATACTGGCATCCTCTGCCTCTTGTGATACGCCTCGGTCAGTCTTTTGGGAAATACTTGAAAAGCGAAGTATATCTGATGACGACCCCATTGGAATTCTAGACCGAAGTTCTACTTGGATGGATGGCATCCAGGCATATCTCACAGACGACACACTCCCTGATTCACTTGAGGAGGCAACCGTGCTGA